AGTTCCACCGAAACGTTAGTAATGAGCTGTAATGAGTACATGGCACTACATCGTTATTTGCCATGCAACCATCTTGACACATGTCTGAAGCGTGTTCTGACATGAAAACAGAATTGTTAACAGCAAGGCACAATTGTGCTGCATCAGGCGACACTCTTCTGTGAAGATCTGTCGTTAATGGATATAGGGTAACATGTGGTACAGTTAACTGACATATTTGTGTTTGTTAACAACGGAAGGGTTAATCACAGTAATTCTGTAAACACAGCAATATCAGAAAAAAATGATATTCTAAAAATATATATATAAATTCCATTTTATTTTATTAAAAATACCCTGTTCTGCACTTTTTTAAATCCTAGTTATGTATAAGATGTAAGTAGTGTCACTGTTTAATCTCCATTTCTGCATCAGGAAGTGTAACATGCTTATTTCATGATTACCGACATGGTCCCTCTTCATACAAAATACCAAATTGTTCCCTTAGTGCAGTCAGTTTGTGGGCTTTCTTCACTTCACTGTCTTGCATTAGATTTTGATAGCATACCTAACGAACTAACCCCAATTTAAAAAGTTAATATTCGCTCATCTACTCAAAAAACCCCCCCCCCCCGTGTGGAACCAGAATGTTCATTGCTATCATTAGTAGAGTCCGACACTAATATCTGCTTTGAGGTTTATAATGTCATTGTATCATTATAAAAAATTCTGAATAGTGTAAACCTGGGTTAGGCAAGGGATTACAGGAATATATAATTTAGTGTTAAGTTTTGCTCTGACAGTTTTTATCTTATTCCAAAATATCAAGTTTAAAACACTTGACATCTGTCTATTTAGATTTACGAAACCAGTGAAGCAGTGTTGTCCCGCTGTGTTTCAACAGTAGAAATTATACCTTACCTTGGATATGTAACATAAAATTCTTTATTTAGGTAACAAGAACTTCTGTGAGGAACTTATAACGCCCACCTTGATTCAGATTTTCCATAGCAAGGCTAGCAGTAATTGTCTCGCTTTACAATAAAATCGTGATGAATCTGTCCGAGATTATAGTAGCACTGAACATTGATAGAAGGTTGCACATTCCAGTTGCAAATAATATTAATTCTGTAAGATTTGAGGTTTTCACGGCAGTGACTATGAAGAAGGCCGTCTTCTGTGATGTGATGCCATGTAGAAATTGTGTCAACCGACGTTTCGGAGGAACATATCGCCTCCATCTTCAGAGTAGAATATAAGAAGAAGTCTGCTTCACCTGCTCTGCTGGTTCGCTCGCGGATTTCTTCTTGTCTTTACCCTGAAGATGGAGGTGATACGTTCCTCCGAAATGTTGGTTAACACAATTTCTACATGGCGCCACATCCCAGAAGACGGTTTTCTTTAATATTAATTCTGTTGTCAGCTGTTATAATTTTCATTATTAAGTTATTTAAGTTCTTAAAATCAATATTTTGAATTTATATATCGATATTATGGTAACACTGTTAAACATGGTTGGATTTTGAGTACATGGAGCCTCTAGTAAATTTATGGTAATAAAATTAATGTTTCATTTCTGCAAATAATTCCTGCTAGTACTGATCCTTTACACCAAGTCTGTCGGATATTACCTGAAAATTTCATATCGTCGTCATATTTATAATTATTGATATACAAGAAAACATTCCATATAACATTTTAGGTAGGTCTGTATTTATAATGTGTCCAGACATACTTTCACATGCTTCACTTGGGTGATTGACTTATCACCATCATACTGAAAACTAAATATATATTTTGCTTGACTGTCATAATATTTTACTTCCAAAGTAAAAAGAATTAATTTGACAGAAGTTGCAAATTTTTTGCAGATCTAGTACCACAAAAAATTTCAAGACTCTACATATACAACTACCATGTTGATATTATGATATAAAGTTGTAAAATGCAAAGGCGAGATGGCCTTAAGGGCAAGAAGTCATATCAACTTTCATAACAATTGCTCAACTGGTCCAAAATGTATCTGTTGTGAGGAACACATAGATGTGATAACTGCCAGAAGATTATTTTTCCATATAAAATAAGGAAAATAACCTGAAATCCAGCATAGAACGATTTACAGTTTTCAACAGTTTGATCATGAGTGTGTTATATTTCAAATCTTTTCATCCCTCCAACAGACCGTATTTATATATCATAGTTATTCCTGCACTTCTTGACCTTAATTGTATATCTTTCACTCTCTTAATCTGATCATTCTGTTTGAGCTTAACAAACAATGGAAGGCAGTCCCTTTGATATTACTAAACACTTCTAGGTAGTTTAGGATCTCACATGTCCCTGACTGGGATGTGAGGGAACATCATTCTCTCTGGGTAAGACGAGGTACACTCTGTGCTATTCGAAATATAAGACTAAGAATTGTGAACCACAGCTGGCGTGCTGTCTCGGACCGGAGCATAAGCAACCTCCACACGACTATCACGGTCAGACACTGGCTGAAGCGATGCAACCAGTACATCCTGCCAGACAAGTAAAAGTTATATACATTATCAAAGCCACAGCTACTAAAAATACAGATTTGAAAACTGAGAATGAAGTGCCCAAGCAAAAATTAAATATTAGTAAAATCAGTAATCTGGAATAAGGATATTGTAAGTATCTGTAAACTTATAATATACATATAATAAGTTCTGACAGTCATATCAGAAGTAAGTCGAAATTGAATAAAGATGAATAATTTTAACAAGTAACCGAAATTAAATATTATTATTATTATTATTATTATTATGGTAATGAAATCAAGGAGGATGAGAGGGGTGGGGCGTGCAGTACTCATGGCAGCAGTGAGGGCTGCATACACACGTGTAGTTATAGAACTTGAGTGGATTAGAATATTTCGAGGAACTACTTCTGGATGGAAGGATAATATGAGAATGTATATTAAAGAAATAGATTGTGTGGATGTGGGTTGGGTTCATTCGGCTCAGGATGGGGTCCATCAGCGGGCTCTTGTTAAAATGTCGTTGAATCTTTTAGTTCCATGAAAGATGGGAAAATTCTTGACCATCTGATAGACTATGACCTTTTCAAAAAGGACTTTATTCCATGGAATTAGTTGCATAGAAGGAAAGGTAAGGAGGAAGAGGGAGAGAAATAAAGAAATGAATGTGTATATTTGAAATTAAAATTAATGGACAGCTGGTTTTGACATTTTTTTAATAATAAAAGCGTAAATGAATTCCTATATTTTAGCTTTGAGGAGATGTACTGGAACAGACATTAATTTTATTATACATTACTTTATAGTCTTCATTAATTATTTAAAAATATTTTGAAAAAGAACATTGCTTGCCAGTCTTGGTCAGCACATTACCATCCGGCTATACTGTTTGACTTCTGTGTTGCAATGACAAGCTAAGGTTATATTCCTAAATGTCATTAACTAACTCAACCTCACAACCCCAGATATTATAAAACTAAACGTGATTACTTTAAACTAACCCTATCAGTTTGTCATGAATTCAGATAAATGGTTTTCAGAAGTGGTCGTTTGTCAGATTCAGTCCACATCTGGGGACTCAGTCTAGTCCACTGTCAGAGACTGGCAGTTTTGAACTTCAAAAAAATATGTTTTATGTCTGTACTATAGAGACTCCAAGTGAAACTTGTAAAATATTTTGCATTTTCCAGTATAATTTAAATGCTTTTCCTACATGATATTCTATATTAGCTCTCTGCCAATTCTGCGTACTTGCGTAAATGACTGCGGGCAGCTGGGAATGTGCTGGGATCTTCCTTGAGTATGAACCGGCGTGTTCCAAGCACGTACTGCCCCAGATACGGTTTCCAGTCAATCTCCATGACATCAAAGTTGAAAATTTTTCGATCCTGAGGATGCAGATGTGTCATGAGCCGTGTGACATTGTCGTTTGTAAACTGCCATTCGTGTGTTGTGAAGAATTCTAGACATGAAACCGCTCGTTGCAGCTTCTTCTGAACTCGGACCATACTGTAGCAGAGAAAAGGCGAGGGACTCAGATTTATTCAACTGCAGATATGCTAGATATTGTGATCTGACTACTCTATAAACTCTATAAACAAGCAAGTCATCACTAGGCAACGGCCCGCGAAAACAGAACTGTTGGGAGTGTGGAGGCTATATAGCGAGGGTCTACATTCATTAACACGATACTGCCGCATGGAAGAGGGTTCGAATACCTCCACCGTAGCCTTTCGAATCGTAGGAGGAGACGAAAAGGACGGGGGTCTTATGCTCCATGTTGGGGGAGTCTCGAATCTGAGAGCAAAGTATGGTCATTAGTCCCGTGGGACTCGGACCCGAGAGTAACTGTGCTGTCGAGGACCAGCAACAATTGTAAACGACATACCCGTCCTCTCATCAGAGAGGACGTCCCACTTCAACAAACCCGCAAATGTCTAACATAACAAAAATCTAGTCTTGGGCCATAGATGGTTGCTTGATGTTAAGACACCTTGGCCGACTGACCGTCGGTCGTAACATAATTTTTATTTGACTGTGACTTGACTTTAACTTGAATAATATGCTATATGTGAGATACGTACACTTGACAAAATGGAAGCCCATTCACAAGAGAAAAGCTCATCCTCTCGTCAGAAAGGATGTTACATAAGAACTATGACCTCAAGGGTTCAGTTACAAAAAGGAAAAATTCTCTGTCCACAACAGACAAGCTATTTTAGAAAGCTATTCTGAAAATAGTTCAAGGTCTGCTTAATGCAAGCCAGTTTGGTTTCTGTGCCCTTCACAGCTAGACACTTCAATGTATGAGGCTTACAGGCCACGTCACCTTCAATTTAAACAATAACATGTCTACGGCCGAAGGTCCAAGAAAATCCGGAGGATCGGAAGCTGGAGGCCTTACATCTTAACTGGTTAATGAACATTTTTCTGCGAAAACCCCCAATAAAAGGAACTTGTATTCGACGCCAGTAAGGAGGTTATTTTAGATGTTAAAGCAGAGAGAACAAAGTATGTGGCCACAGTTAGTTATCAGAATGCAGGGCAAGATCATAATATAAATATAGTTGATAAATCACTAGAAGAATTGGCAAAGTTCAAATAAGCTGATTTTGGAACTAGAATAAAAAATCAAAATACATTCACGATGAAAATAAGGCCAGATTGAATTCGTGGATTACTTACCACCATTCAATTCAGAACTGGTATCTCTCCAGCTCCTATCCTGTAGCGTAAAATTTAAAACTACTAGAATTTTACCGCCTGTTTTGTACGGATCTTGCTCGCGTTAAGTGGAGTACACAGATTGAAGCTGGCTGAGAACAGAGTTCCCTGGAGAATATTTTTTCTAAGCGAGAAATACGAGAAATTTATTCAGAATTTTAATCTGAAAACGTGAAGGGAGGACACTACTTTTGGAACCTAGACGTAGATGGAAGGAAAATATGAAAATGAATCCTAAACATGGGCTAATAGTGGATTGTCATGAATACCGTAATGAGTTTTAGGGTTCATAGTAAGCGGGATTCTTTGGAACAGCTGAGCTACCATTGGCTTTTAAGAAATGAGTTAGCTATAAAAATACATGGGGTCCATGCAAAACTTATTTCGCTTCTTTTGCTGATTATTAATTAACCTTGGATATAGGCATCCGAAATTTGGTATTCTGCTAGACCGACACGTTAATTAGAAATGTCATTTACTTAGAAATTAATACTGACAGATATAACGAAGGAGAAATCTGTACTGGTGGAAATTAGAAACAGAAGTTTGTAACTAAATAACAGAATTATTGACTTACAGCTATTGTTAATCCCGCCGTGTAGATTAAAGCATTCAAAGGAAAGTAGATATCCTAATTCTTCCAAGATTTTATTTTGATTATTTTCAAAATCAATGGTAATGGTTAGGGTCATTTCCAGAAGTCTTTGCTCCCTGACCACAGATTGAATATTCCAGTAGAGGCTGTCCTGAATGAAACGTCTGATGGTTTCCTTCAGCCTCGTGTTACAGAAAAGTCATAGCATCTGCAATGTTCTGTGACTCCTAGGAGTTCTAAGCTGCAAGTATGTTACCCTTAGGGCAGCGGTTCTCAAGCAAACATTTCCCTGACCGTATTGAAAGTATCTGGCATGTTCTGTGGTAACCTGAAATGTAGCTTTCTAAATGTAATGTGAATCCAATGAAGTAGGTTGTTGTTAATTTACAATTTATAACCAAGGAAAAATAAAATGTGATTGCCGTACCTTGCATCAGCTTAGTTATTCGGGAGTATGTTCACTGGAAGTTTTTGGACAGCTAACAACAACAATAGACAGTTTTATTATATGACAGTGAAAGGTTGCAACCGCGGAACAAAGATCCGTAACACCCGCCTAAAAATAGTCTCTGCGTTTACAGAAGTCGCGAAGAAAATCTGTCTCAAGAGTGGGAAAAGTTGTTCGACAAAGGAAACTTACTTAGTAGCACAAGAGAGGCTTCCGTAGTCTAGAGGTAACGTTCCCACCTCATGACTCGTAGTACGCGGGTTCAAGTACCCAGCGGAGGTCGTCGAATTTTTAAGGGCGGAAAAATTCAGGGAACAAGTCCTCCGGGAGGGACTTTAAGCCGTGGGTCCCGTGTCGTGGCTTTACGGCACGTAAAAGAACCTCATATCTCCAAAGGAGGTCACTGAGCCAAATTAACGGACGTTTCCCGCCCAACAGCAGTCTCTAATACCTCTGGTAGATGGGGGAAGCATTATAGATACCTCTCAGCTAGTAGAGCCGGTCTCGCTGGCTGGGCGGGACTGATGGTAAGCACCAATACTGGTAGGCTATAGAGACTGGTAGAAATCATAGAGGGAAACACAATGGACCAATAAAGGTCTAAGTGCATGGGGAAACCCACCCTCTCCAACAACTAACTAACTAACTAGTAGCACAAGAGCAGGTGGTGGCTGCATGTGGTCACAAAGAAAACAAAACAAACTCCGTGGCCTGCAGTCCGCAAGCGAACTATCTCGACCGAGCAACCGCCGCTTGTCAGTGAACTTAGTTCCAACTTTTGCGGATAAAGGGTGTCACGTTGTCGGCATAACGGATCTTCACGGCCGTTAATCTCGGTTTCCTAGACCGGAGCCGTAATTTCCTTGAAATACCTCCTCAGTTATTCTCACGAGGCTGAGTGGACCCCGTTCCACTACTTCTCAGAAAATCTTGTAGCTCCGGGAATCGAATCTGCAATCTCTGGATATGTAGGCAGGAACTCTGACCACTAGACCACAGAGGCGGTAACGGTTACCGTAATGCAAATCGTTTCTTTAGGGCTCCTACTCCAGATTACGCTACTGAGGTGGTTAAGTCTCAGCGTTTGCTCAAAGGCTTGCGTTGTGTAGCCACAAGAATTAGCCTCTTCAGGATAATATTGTGACATGTTGCGCAAAGCCGAGCCGTCACCAGCAGTGACGCGGCGGTGAGTCAGCGCTCCCATCCCACCCCTCGGCGGTAACGTAACGCTCGCGTTACTACGGTAATAGGGGGGTTCCCGCCCCGCCACTCCCCTCCGCGGTGACGTAACGCGCAACGCGCGGTGACGTCACGAGCGGAGCCGAAGAGAGCCGAGCGGAGCCGAAGATAACCGAGCCCCGTAACCTGGTAACTATGTAATGGTCATGGCTGTCCCTTCCAGGTCGTATGCCTGAATTTCACATTGTTAAATAACTTGTTTGCTTCTTGCAGTGTTAGTAAATAACTTGTCACGCTTTGGAAGATGCAACGTACTTACACCGGCTTCTTGCCAGATACACGTGCAACAATGTCGAATATGTAGGCAGGAATCATGTGCAGCGCCATGACACAGATGCTGTTCATCACGCGACTGCTCTTGAAACTTCCCCCGGGGTACCACAGAACATCACTGAATGGATTCTGGAGGATGAGTTCGTGTCCAATGTCCTCTATATCTCTCCATCTGATGGGATTTAGACTTCCAGACGTGCAGTTGTACACTAGGACGTTGTTGGGTCTAGACCAGCAAAACTAGGTTAGTTCCAACAATTCAACAATTTGCAACTAAAGATGCACACTTGATAATTATGTCATTATTAACAAAAATATAAACGATCTAGGAAGTGTGAAAGTGGAAGGCCAAAGAATTGCAATGGCTTTATAAAGAGAATAAAGCAAATATCTTTAAGGCACATGTGATTACAGCGAATGCCACGAAAAATCAAAATACTATCTAAAGGAAGAATTATATCAGTATGAACACGGGGGTGTACTGATAAAAAATGCTGTATATTGGCGCGATTTCCAGCGTACCATAAGAAAATGCTGTTAGGAGGAGCGAGGGAGCAAGTTCTTAACTTACAATCATGAATGAGATTCTACATTAAATTGATGCTGATATTAGACTAGAGCAGTAAACTTGATATTAGGCGAGTAAAATAAACTTCGCCAGATCAAGAAATTTAGTAGTCAGGACCATAACGCTGCCACATCACAATACATGTAACTGCAGTTGGACTTCTCCTGATGGCAAGACACGCAATCATATATGTCAGATATTAATAGGTAAAGAACATATCTAATTTACGTTCAGTCTAAACGACTGGACGTAAATTAAGAATTATATTTCAGCATTCCGTTGTATTGAAGCATCATCTTATTTTTTTACTAACATATCCGTCATTAATACAACTTTAAAAAGACATTAGGAATATGTTGTTCACTAAAAATGCATTTTAATACTATGACAGTTCAAATCAATAAAATGNGAGGCTGAGTGGACCCCGTTCCACTACTTCTCAGAAAATCTTGTAGCTCCGGGAATCGAATCTGCAATCTCTGGATATGTAGGCAGGAACTCTGACCACTAGACCACAGAGGCGGTAACGGTTACCGTAATGCAAATCGTTTCTTTAGGGCTCCTACTCCAGATTACGCTACTGAGGTGGTTAAGTCTCAGCGTTTGCTCAAAGGCTTGCGTTGTGTAGCCACAAGAATTAGCCTCTTCAGGATAATATTGTGACATGTTGCGCAAAGCCGAGCCGTCACCAGCAGTGACGCGGCGGTGAGTCAGCGCTCCCATCCCACCCCTCGGCGGTAACGTAACGCTCGCGTTACTACGGTAATAGGGGGGTTCCCGCCCCGCCACTCCCCTCCGCGGTGACGTAACGCGCAACGCGCGGTGACGTCACGAGCGGAGCCGAAGAGAGCCGAGCGGAGCCGAAGATAACCGAGCCCCGTAACCTGGTAACTATGTAATGGTCATGGCTGTCCCTTCCAGGTCGTATGCCTGAATTTCACATTGTTAAATAACTTGTTTGCTTCTTGCAGTGTTAGTAAATAACTTGTCACGCTTTGGAAGATGCAACGTACTTACACCGGCTTCTTGCCAGATACACGTGCAACAATGTCGAATATGTAGGCAGGAATCATGTGCAGCGCCATGACACAGATGCTGTTCATCACGCGACTGCTCTTGAAACTTCCCCCGGGGTACCACAGAACATCACTGAATGGATTCTGGAGGATGAGTTCGTGTCCAATGTCCTCTATATCTCTCCATCTGATGGGATTTAGACTTCCAGACGTGCAGTTGTACACTAGGACGTTGTTGGGTCTAGACCAGCAAAACTAGGTTAGTTCCAACAATTCAACAATTTGCAACTAAAGATGCACACTTGATAATTATGTCATTCTAAACAAAAATATAAACCGTCTAGGAAGTGTGAAAGTGGAAGGCCAAAGAATTGCAATGGCTTTATAAAGAGAATAAAGCAAATATCTTTAAGGCACATGTGATTACAGCGAATGCCACGAAAAATCAAAATACTATCTAAAGGAAGAATTATATCAGTATGAACACGGGGGTGTACTGATAAAAAAAACTGTATATTGGCGCGATTTCCAGCGTACCATAAGAAAATGCTGTTAGGAGGAGCGAGGGAGCAAGTTCTTAACTTACAATCATGAATGAGATTCTACATTAAATTGATGCTGATATTAGACTAGAGCAGTAAACTTGATATTAGGCGAGTAAAATAAACTTCGCCAGATCAAGAAATTTAGTAGTCAGGACCATAACGCTGCCACATCACAATACATGTAACTGCAGTTGGACTTCTCCTGATGGCAAGACACGCAATCATATATGTCAGATATTAATAGGTAAAGAACATATCTAATTTACGTTCAGTCTAAACGACTGGACGTAAATTAAGAATTATATTTCAGCATTCCGTTGTATTGAAGCATCATCTTATTTTTTTACTAACATATCCGTCATTAATACAACTTTAAAAAGACATTAGGAATATGTTGTTCACTAAAAATGCATTTTAATACTATGACAGTTCAAATCAATAAAATGACTGTAGGCTTTTACGTAGTACATAAATTTACACATTAAATAATATAAATTAATAAAAAATAATGTAAAACCAAGATAATTTGAGGACTGTGAACATTCGCTTTTAATGTGTAAATTTATGTACTACGTAAAGGCCTACGGGCATTTTATTGATTGGAACTGTCATATTATTAAAATGCAATTTTAGTGAACAACATATTCCTAATGTAGAAAGCAGTCTTCTGGGATTTGGCACCGTGTATATGTGGTGTTAACCGACGTTTCGGAGGAACGTATCGCCTCCATATTCAGGGTAGAAGGAAAAATATAAGAAATCCGCAAGCGAAGAGACCGTGAGAACCGGTAAAAGCAGACTGTGTGTCGGTTAATACCACATATACACGGTGCCAAATCCCAGAAGACTGCTTTCTTCATAGTCACCGCCGTGAAAGCCTCAAATCTTACATATTCCTAATGTCTTTTTAAAGTTGTATTATTGACGGATACGTTGTTAAAAGAAAAGGTAAATTAAGAATGTTCAGCTCGTATACACTTTAGAAAAGATGACTGTGACGTAACAATCATCAGATGGTTGCAGAAATTGGGGAAGAGCTTTCAGCTAGAAAAGCAGAAATTAGACGTGGAAATGTTTAATCTCTAGAAGCTAAATATATGGCAGCAAAAGAACAGTATCAGATTAAAATCGTGAACAAGTTTGTTGCTTTCGAAGCCTTGCATGGAAATGCACTTGGGAAAGTATTAGAAACAATATCAAAATTTCAGTGAAAACAGTTTTGGTGGTTTGTTTCGTGTCAAAGCTGAAGAAATCAGTGTTTGGTGTACAGCGTTCAGAATAATTAAATAAACAGTAGCAGGTTGAATTGCAACAAATTCGGACAAGCGTCAAGTGGAGAGAGATAATCTGCAAAATGCATAAAATGAAAGGAGGAGGTGAATTTTCGGGAATGTAGGAACAGAACGTCAGAAACACAAATTACATTCAGTACTGTTAGTATAGGTCAAAAGACAAACCGTCACATAAATTTAATTTAAACTCCTCTTCTTTTAATTGTTTTTGCTCACTACATGTTTCGACAGTAAGCAGTCATCATCAGGTAATATACACAAATTAGTCTCTTATATATGCTGTAAATATAAAGTTGGTAAAATGTGGAAATATATAAAAGTATCATAACATAATAATGGAAAATAGGTCGAATCTGAATATATCTCACGAAGACATAATAGTATTTATTCAAAATGTAAGAATTATCCAGTGTATGACATCATACGTTTATTATCCAAACATTTTCATATTATTCTTTCATTTTTAATATAAATCTCTTGGTCCATCCAAGTTAAATTATTAACATTAAGTTGTACATTAATATGTAATAATATGGTGCCCGGGAATATTTATGGTGTTTTCTGTTGGTGAGTGAGTGGAGTTAACTGATGGTGGAGTGCAACGAATGTCTCTGAAGGTAAGGTCATATAAAATGAGTCCTTGACTATTGACTAATGTAGTAGGATGTGCCTTTGAAGTCACGGTTTGGCGTATTGACGCAGTGTGATTTATGCACTTGGAGACAACCTGTGTGACGGTTTATCTTATGGCCTGGAGAACATAGACACGATTCTTGATCAAGCGGAACAGTTAAGTAAATTGGCAATTAAATTACTGCAGCCATACGTGTATGCATATGTCTGAGCTATTTAGTGCCTACACTCAAATTTCTTTGTTTCAATTGTTTGAGGTTCTGTTCCGGGATACTGGAATTAAAAAAAAACGGTAGTACACTATGCGCCAAAATGCAGTACTGAAACTAGCGCATCTCGAACACGCATGTGCGTTTGTCGACCAGGCATAGCTCCAGCCGCACGTGTTCCCAGTAGTGAAAAGGAAGTTTTATTGTGCAATTATTGTTGGAAATGGGCCTCTCGACGGAGGAAAGAGTATTCATAGATGAGTATTATTTCCGCTCATATGGAAGTGGTCGCAAGACAACTCGCTTCTTCGGTTTTGAGTGGCCAGATGTTATCGTCCAGAAACCGCTACACAGTACACGTGTGACGATATGGTGTGCCGTCTCAGCACACGGTATATTAGGCCCCTATTTCATTGAGGATGAGGAAGGCAATGCTCTTACCGTCACCCAAGAACGCTACAGGGACATGGTGATCGGACCATTTCATCAGGATTTGAGAAGGTTCTGTCGCGCAAAGGGCATTCACATGAATAGAGAGTGGTATCAACAGGACGTCTTTTCATTTCAGTACTGTAAGTTATGGCGCATACTATATTTGTAAGGTTAGATAGCAGCATCTGTGTAACACAGGTATGCAAATGGAGTCCTACACATGAAGTTTCTATACAGAGGAGTGTCACCTGGCCGTAGCTGTGTGCCATGCCACAGATATGAGCAAGTTGATGGCAGTGTCTACAGGAATCAAGTCAGCAACTAAGTCACGATAACAAAGGATCGTTCTGAGGACACCTTTCCCTGCTCCAGCTATGAGTCCTGTAGGACCGTTCAGGTTGTCCACCCAACCAGGAATAGGCTCCTTCCACGCAGCAGTCACTGTTAACAAAGAACAACACGTCGTTTGTTGTAAAACGAAAACAGGCTAGAGTGTGTATCAGAAAACAAGATCGATTTTATTAAAATGTATTATGCTTCTGGCTCTATTGGATACATTTTTATAATAACGGTCTACAAATTCTTATTTGAATTTATAACATATATGTTTCGTGCCTTTCACAACAGTAACCGTTTAGAGTAGAAGAATATCGATGTTTCGGAGGAATAGGCTGTCTCGATCTTCAGGGTTAAAGGCAGTCCGAGGGGCTCCGAATTCTTACCCTGTTCCTTGGGTATCAGTAACCACCTTCCTTGCGATCTGCTTGTATAATCGAGGCAGTTCCTCGACCTTCATAATTTAACCCTGGAGATGAATGCAACAAGTTCCTCCGAAATGTCAGTATCCATTTACAATACTACACTGTGTCACAACCCAGGAGACTGCACTCTTAATTTTGAAGGCTTGTAAATAATACATTATTAATTAAATTTGCCGTTAGATTAAGCGCTCATTGAGATGCCTCTAATTTTCTAACTGCATGTTAATTCATCGTCTTCAGAGAGTCATTTTTAAAGGACGGATTTTATCGTAATATTCTTGAAGTCCATCACATACGATTCACATTGGAACTCACTTAATCCGGAAAATTTGGGTATATAAATGTCAATTCATTAATGACGTAACTTGTTACCAGTTGATGAGGCTGTCAGTAGCATAACAAGCACAAACAATAATATAATTGAGAAATATGCAACAAGCGCCGCACATATAGCTTATATCTTGCTATGCATTTTGTGAACGAAGAGTATAAACTGAACACAAAACGGGAAGATTATTCATCGTCTCAAAAAGTAATTGAGTTCGTCTGAATTAAAATATTACCGTCACTTCTGCCTACTTCTTTCGAATACAACACATATTTATGCGGGTCTCAGAGCGAAATTTATCAATCTTTTACGCCCTAATATACAAAATAAATTTGACAAATAGGATAAAATTATATCTTATTGCTGACTAAGCCCTTTATATATATACATACCTTTTATATGTAATGAATATTTAATAATATATAAGGAAAATTAATTTCTGCCTCAATGTAGTGTGACAGTCTCTGAAACAACAGAACTTTATATGCAATAAATGGAAACATATTTATTATTCTAAGAATCTGTTTGTGTGACATAAGCAAACAACAGCAACATTCTGCTTCCTGCTTACCTATTGATGGTCTGACGATTGCGACTGGTAGGTTCCCACTCTGCTCCACTAAGACATGTTCTGCCAGAGCCTTGGTGAACGTGTATGTGTTAGGGCGGTTTCCGATAATTCTGTGAACATAATAGAGACATGCACTTCACTATACTGAACTGACACTACTGCACCCTCCTGTAACAGGAAATCCCCAGACCCATATTCCAGAAGTATCTC